TCTAAGGTATGACAAAATGTTCAGAAACCTCTGAAACGTAAAGATATATAAAAATTTTAATTTTCGATTTTTTTGCGATTACTATAACTTGCCCTACGGGAAGTTAATTATATAGGTTTGAAACCTCTGCATAGAGAAAAGGAGATTACTATACAAAAAGTGCCTTTTCCTAATTCCGCGAATGAGTTGCAGTATCATAATCCTATAACATATAGGTGATAAACTTTTATTAGGTTAAAATTGTATCGCATCTATAAAGAGACGAAGTTTCATGTCACGATACACGAAATTAACCCTTGTGCAGGTGAGTAAATGTCATTGGAGGCGATTATCATAAAAAATAATGTTCATTAGCTCTCGAGAGTTTTATGGATTTGCGTTATGAAAATGCGTTAATACCGCGCAGCAATATGCAAAGTTTCAACGATACACAGGGGCGCACGGATGCCAGTTCATACAAAATAGTATCTACCTAATACGAGTTTAACTTTTTCGATTTAATTAGAAATACCAATGACTGCAAAGAAAGGCATCGAAATTAACTTTGTCAAAGTTGAACTTGAGATAATTTTAGTTTATTGAGGGCGACTTAAAATTTGTAATAACTAAATGGATTAAGGGATTACACCACTGTAGCAGCCAAAAAAAATGTATAATTTAGCCATTTCTTTTTGGCGAGCACTTTATTCAAAATCGTTAAATTTCAATAAAAGAAACAAAGAGTACTTTGTTAATAATTGATGCACAAATTAACATATAAAAAAGAGTGCGCGTAAGGATCACACGCGATTGAAGTAAAACTTATTTGCTACTGTACAAAGTAGCAAATTTACGTTAAGTAAAAATAAATATATCATGTAACAATTTTGAATAGTGTTTATTAGTAATATGGTAACACTCGTAATGCACACATTTATTAGTGACGTCAATCATTATACACATTTATATAATGATAAATTATAAATTATATATATATTTATGATTGCATTAAAAATATGTATAATATTTACAAACAATAATGTAATAAGAATCATACTTGAAATATGACATGACCGGTTTAAAGTAATTGCTGATTAATAAATTCTATAATATTCGTTCACACAAAGTTAAACAAAGCCTAAACAAATATTGTGATATAATCTCATTCTTTGAACAGCTGTAATATCTGTTTTGCCTCAAAAATTGAAGCCATTCTTTTATATTTGTTTTATTTATCAAGCCCTGCACATAGCTTGATCTATGAATATATAGATCTATGAATCATTTTCTTTTTTATGTGAACGTTAATGCATTGATCATCATCAATATTACGAGGTAATAAATTAACCATATTATTAACGTCAACAGGCACATTTATAATTTGGTCAAATATTCCAAATTGTCTATTTGCATGTCGCAATCGTCTAATTTGCATGACACACATCCCAGGTGAAATTAACGTTTCAGATACAGTATCTAGTAGGTAGATAATTTGGTATAGGTGGAAATACAAACCCGTTAAATTTACACAAAGTGGGAAATTTACTCGCCTTTCGACAAGTTTGACATCGAACCTGATTATTTGAATCAATATTCAGAAAACCATTATTAAGAATTTGTTTTTGAGCATTATTTGATATTTTTAAGTCACTTTGAAACCAAAGTCTATCACACCCAAAGCATACATAGCCAAATCTATCACTTGTAAATTGTTTTTCAAACAATCTTCGTGCATTCCTAAACAAGTTGAAGTCTTTATATGCAAGTTCAAATACTTCATATTTAACTCTTGCAAAAGATCAGTTCTTGGTACATTATTAGTCACATTATATACAGAATCATCAATTTGCAATTTACGTGGTGTAGCTGCTGTATCAGAAAAAGTAACAGCAGTACTTTCATCTAAAAAGATAACGGAATAATATGTTTAAATGTGAATAGTTGAAGCGTTTTTCAGGAGTCAAATGGCGAAAAAAGATTCTTTCTTATATCAATGATGTTGACATTAACATCTAAATTGATACCTGGCTCAAGATTTTGTAATAAATTGGCAGTAACTGACTGGCGATACAGTTTCATTCTTTAAGCAACTTCACGCTTTTGGTGACGTATGCACGTATAAATTACAGCTTTAGGTTATGAAATATTTCTCCTCATATTCTAAAAAGTTCGAAGTATATTTTAAGATTAAAATTTTTTTTTCGTTGTTCGAAAAATCTACAGTGGTGTAAACCCTTAATGTGTACTATGTGCAATATTTTATATATTTGAAGAATGCTGCAATCATTGATAATAATTTTCTTTAAAATTTGTTTGTATGTGAATTCATAAAATTATAAATCTTGGAACGGAACCAAAAGAATTGGAAACAAACTTTGTATTATTAAAGTTTCTATATAATATCTGATTCCCACCCATCAATTCGGCTTCTTAAGTGGGCACTCCACTATTGAGCAAATACACAGAGTGGTTAACTATATAACTAATTCCTTCCAAAATAAACTCTATTGCTCTGCCGCTTTTCTTGATGTCAGCCAGGCCTTTGACAAGGTCTGGCACACTGGACTTCTTTTTAAAATTAAACCTTACTCCCTGCTCAATACTTCCTTCTCCTTAAATCATACCTACTAAACAGATCCTTTTTCATTAGCATAGGTGATCAAAATTCTTCAACTCGGCCTATCTGCTCCGGTGTCCCGCAAGGAAGTGTACTTGGACCCTTGCTGTATCTCTTATATACTCATGACTTACCCGTTACAACTAATACGGTTACAGCAACATTTGCGGATGATACGGCAATTCTAGCTGCCCACGAAGATCCCGCTCTAGCTTCACACCTCCTACAATCAAACCTGGATACATTGCAAGACTGGCTTAGCATCTGGAGATTCAAGGTTAACAACCAAAAATCAGCTCACGTTACCTTTGCACTGAGGAAACATACATGCCCACCAGTGACTCCCTTCCATAATTTGCTACCCATCAAGGATAATGTAAAATACCTGGGACTTCACCTGGATCGAAAACTCACGTGGAAAACACACATCTGCCAAAAGCGTAAACAACTCAAAGAAAAGCGAAGACAACTATATTGGTTGCTGGGTCGTAAATCCAAAGTGTCGATGTCAAATAAAGTTTTGATATACAAATCAATACTTAAACCCATTTGGACCTACGGGATTCAGCTCTGGGGCACAGCCAGCCACTCAAATGTAGAGATATTACAGAGGTTCCAGAATAAAATGCTTAGGCAAATTGCCAATGCACCTAAATACACCCCAAATTGGTTACTCCACGATGAACTGGGTGTCTCTTTCATTAGAGACGAGATTCCTAGACTTTGTCTAAAGTATCGTAATAGGCTCACCTTTCACCCAAATAACCTTGCAAGAAAGCTGCTAGAACCAATCCAATTCAGAAGACTTAAAAAGAACTACCCCAACGACTTGTTTTAGGTTTAATTATAAGTACTAATTTGTATTTTTCTTGTGTTTTGTACATCTATATATCACACTGTAAAGAACCGCATCACTGGATGCAGATCTTAGCTTTTTCTATCTTTGTTAAATTCTAAGCCATGCAATTGATTTTATATCTCCTGTAGATAGATGATCAAATGAAATTATTAAAAAAAAAAAAAAAAATATAATATCTGATAATTTTATGTGCTAAAGGTCTAATGATTGTTTTTGACTTTCACAAAATTTTTATCAAATTTTCATTCAGTGACGAACACACATCTATTTTTTCTAAGGTATGCTAACATGTATTTGAAACATAATGATATGTCAAAATGTTCAGTAACATTTAAAACCTAAAGATATGTAAAGATTTTCATTTTTGTGTTTTATATTAAAAGTAATATTAAGAACTTGTCATCTGATCAACAGCGCTCAGAATCGAAAAGACTAATAACGGAAGAAAATTTTTGCATATCTTTACGTTTTAAATATATGTTGGCATAAAAAAAATAGTTGTGTGTACGTTGCTGAATAAAGATTTCATGAAATTTTTGTGAAGGTCAAATATGATCATTAGAATTTTGCATATCAAATTATCAGATATTAGAACTTAGAAAATACTTTTGTTAGGCATTTTCAAACATTTCCGTTTATCTCCCGATTCTTAAAAATAACAAAAAAATTAGTAGATTTTCTTTCCACTCACGGACCTTTTAGCACCTCATATTAATTTATGAAAAACAAATTATTCAATACTCTAAGAAATTTAAATAAAGTTTGAGTAGATAACTAGTAAGTTGCATTTTGCACTGACTCAACTACATTTTTGAATCTTTCTAATGGTGTTTTATTTTTATACTTTATATCTGCATTCACTCATTTCAGTAAATGTTTCTGAATAAGTCAATTAGTAAACGTTGTTAGTGAACTCGTTTGACAATTTGCCCAAAAAGATTTGGCACACTGGATTTTACAGTTGTTTTTTTGACGTACTTTGATGATGACTTTTTTCTTGTTTCAATTTCAAATTATAATAGTATGCTGCAAGCACAAAAACAAATGTGCTATCAAAATTTTAAGTATAAAAATCTTACAATTTTTTTTTTCTAAATTTATAGTTATAAAGACCAAGAAACAGAGTAAATGTAAGTAAAAATCGTTATTAGAATATTGCATTTTCACATAATGTATTGTAATATTTTATTTTGTTTTTTTTTTTTTTTTTATTTTTTTTCGAGTTTTAAATTTTATGCCTATTCCAAATGTCATTCATCTCCTGCAAAGTTTTTTTTGTACGAAAAATAAAGTTTTCGATTTTAATTTAATGGTAAAACATTTAATACCGTACTGTCATCTAATTTGACTTGACTTTCAAACGTTTTAATTTAGTTAAAATATTTAGTGTATTTATTTCTCTTCATTACAACTTGATATGGATATTTTTTTATTCACATGTCTTTCATTTATACGATTTATGCGAAATATTTACTAATTTATCCGATATTAATTTTCTGATCGCAAATATAATTCTATTAAAATTATTTTAGCAGTTCAGGCACAATGGTATCGAGACGCACAAAAAAGGAGGCGAAATCACGGTCGATAAGTTCGACTACCCTTTCTGAAGTCTTGTTTCAAGAGGCAAAAAAGGTAATTGAAAAATAAAAATAATATATACTCATGAAAAAGATGTAGCAATACAAGTAAAATATCTCCATAAATACGAATAAATTAATATAGTATGGTAGCCATTTTCTAAGACTACGCAACTTAGAATGAAATTGACAAATATTATATATTATATTCATAAATAAATCTAGATTTCATTTACTACTTACTTAGGTATTCACTTGAAATTAGTTATAGCAATATGTTTTTAGCTCAAAATAGCCCTTACCTGGAAGCTTTAATAAGTAATAAGTATGTAATATTGAAAATTAATCACAAAAAATAGGACAATTGTTTGGGTTGTCATTTGCAAACGTTGTTAAAAGTCAAAATTTATTACAACAGCTCATAGACCTATAACTTCTGATCTTTGTTTAACTCTCTCTCTCTCTCTCTCTCTCTCTCTATATATATATATATATATATATATATATATATGTGTATATATATATATATATATATATATATATATATATATATATATTATTTATATTTATTATTTTTGCAGAAACGGGCTGCACGGAATAAGGGAATCCACAAGAAATATCGTCTATCGCCCGCATTAGCCAAATTAATAGGCAGTGACGAACCCGAAACACGTTACAATGTGGTCAAATTGATCTGGATCCAGATCAAGGAGAGGAGACTTCAAGATCCTGAAGATCCTACCTACATCGATTGTGACGAGGAGTTCGAAAACGTAACCGGGATGGTGCGCCTGAAAGGCTTTACGATAATCAAGCACATCCACTCGCACTTTTTAGAATAGATAAAATCAATAACACTTCAGTCTCATGACAACACAGTTTATGCTCATCACTGTTAAATATTTGGGACTCCATTTGGACCGTCAACTCTACATTTGTTTAAAGCGTAAACATATCGAAGAAAAACGAAGACAACTATGTTGTCCGCTGGGTCATAAATCTAAGTGTCGGTGTCAAACAAACACCCCCGAATCTACAAATCAATTCTGAAACCCATCCGGACATATGGCATCCAGCATTGTGGTACTGCCAACCAATCAAATATCGCGATTCTACGGAAGTTTCTGGTTGATTTGCTTAAGGAAATCGCCGACGCACCATATTGCACTCCCAACTGACTTTTCTACGACGAACTGGGAGTTACTTTTATCATGAAAAAAATTCCCGGACATAGTCATAAGTACCAAAACAGGTTCACCGCCCACTCAAATATCTTTGCAAGAAAGCTGGTGGAACAAACACCTCAGAAGACTGCACTTAACTGATTTATGTTAAAAAATATTCACATTGCTATTGATTAAATTTAACTTTCTGAAAGAGAAGTTTGTTTTTACAAAAAATCTGAGTTGCTAATTTATTGTATTCTCTACGTTCTCGAATTTGAAAATAGTATATGTGTGCGCGTGAGGAAGCCTATATTTTTCCTTTGTTTGCAGTTTTCTCAAAAACGGCAGGTTTACTTGTCAATAAGAATCAAATGAATAAATATTTTGAATTAATTCGACTCAGAAGATCCGTAATCGTCGGCTGCACGCATTTTCCCTAAACACAAAAATATTTTGATACTTTCATTTTTTATTTTGTGGTGATTAGTGATTACTTACTCGAAAGAAAATTAAATAAGTATAACCACATAAAACAGTGATTCCGAGTTTTTTTATGATGGGGCACCTTAAAGTTTCTAAAAACAATTCATCTCCCTCATACAAAATATTTACCTTTTGAAAATTGTTTTGTTTCTATTACATTCTCTCTATGAAAGTAATGTAATGTTTCTAAACATGTCATAACCGAAATTGCAAAAAATTAATTTCATTACTTACTTTTTTATATTTATTTAACGCGATATTTGAACTAGATTGTTGCTGCAAAAATATTTAATATTAGGTTAGAACTTACTAAGCTTCAATCTCAAGTCTCACACTTTGTGTTATATATCAAGTCTATATTTTTTATCAATAAACCATTGACGGCACCAAATCCACATTTACTAATTCTCGCGCATTTCGTTACATTTGGTCCTTTGGTGCAGTTTTTCCACAAAGCCATTTGTTCAAGACTAATCAGTTATCACATTTGGTAACTTGAAACGAAAGTATTTTTTTGTTTATTTAACCTTATTTTTTATTTCATAACCGAAACGAGATCTTGCAGCTAAACTAATCAGAGATGGACGGGCGCTGAATAATATAAATAAGATTTAAAATTACACATACTATTTAACACTAAGTTTACAGACATTTCGTATATATGCCGATCTCAACAGAAATCCGTCCAATTATTTGAAAATCATCTTAATTTATACTCACAATTCAGGTTGATTCGAATATAGTTTAAGGCTTTGCATCAAATTAAAATGCAAAAGTTGTTAACATATCACGAAAATTCAACGTGAAATGTACAAGGTAACCATATTTTTTCACTTATTATCTCGATGTCTTTTATGCATTAGCATCGTGCTATTTTATCACAACACCTATAAAAATTAGAGCTTTGATCTTTTTCACACGATTTGGTAATATTTTCTAATGTTCACGTTTACTGATCTGAAATATTGAGTTTCGAGTGACCCGATCATTTTTGTTGGCGATTTCTTATATGCAAAATATCGTGATGTTATCAAGTTCAGTACATCGCAGCAGTAGTGGGATGTCACAGTGAAGGAGAGATGAACGCATAGTAGCATTCCAAATATCAAAGTGTGGCAAAATCACAAGCATAAAAAAGGTAACTATTGAGTATATTACGTAAATTCTATCTGGTCACGGCTGTTTTCGAGCCTACCTGCACCGCTTCAAGCAAGATAGCTCGGATTACTCATATTGTTATTGCAAATAGAATTGCTGAGCACGTGTTCTTCGTGTGCCCGCGATTTAGTGCACTACGGTACGATGTAGAAGAGAGCCGAAGAATTACTCCAGATTCGGTTGTAAAACTTATGCAGCCAACTAAGGCTGCGTGGAATGTAATAGTCACATTTGCTACCAAAGTGCTTAATAGACTTGCGATGTTCGGAAAAAAGAGAAAATTGCAAAAATTAGGAGAAGTATAATTTTAGAGCAAAAATTATAGCATTCTAGATCTTTCCACCATAAAATAATGCCTAACGGCGGTTTCCGTGGGGGCCAGAGGCAAGAGAAAAGCGGAAATTTTAGTCAGTATAATAACAGAGCGGTATTGAGTCCGACAAAACACCAGTATGGGATGCATAAAGGCATTTCCTTCGCGACAAAAATAAAAATAATATATATTGGATCAGAATACTTGTAAGAGAAATATATTGTCCAATAAATATACATGCAATTTAACCTAATTTAATCCTATATTTTATTGAAGACAGTGGAATGTGAAACGGTTTCACATTCCACTGTCTTCAATAAAATATAGGATTAAATTAGGTTAAATTGCATGTATATTTATTGGACAATATATTAGGTTTCACTGAAACCTAAATAAAATTGTTGAATATATTAAAAATGGTGTATCATACATGATATGTACATTTCTGGATATATTACGTTACCACTTAGCGTCATGCACGTTCCATGATATTTTTCAGATATTTAATTATTAGATCGATAAGGCAATACCTTATTAGGCAAAATTTAACTTACACCAGTTTTATGTATACCTATAATATTATTATTGAAGTATTTAATTACAAAGAAATTTGGAACAAAACTTTTCAAATTTTTTCTTTTCATCTACAGTTCATTTATGGCAGGACTTTTGAGTCAAATAAACTTCAACAAAGCAGATATCAACTACGAAAGCATTATTTGTTTTACATTATAGTAAGTATTTTTTAAAACTTATTTTTATTCAATAAATTTTGAAACATATTACTTTACGTTAAGTAGCTATATGTTTTTTTAAATATAAGATAGGACTAAAACCTATTTAAGTATTCTATTACCTGATTTATTTAGTGATCAAATCACATTTGAAGTTAATTTATATGTTATCTGCAACGCGAGATTGAACTCGGTACCTCGTAGTTGCAAGGCTGGACACTCCAAAATGAAAATGTCAAGATTTAAAAGCTACAACGAGCTGTTCAGACCTTCGGGTGCGAAACCTTATAAACCCGATTGACATAAATATTCGAACTAAAGCCGTTTCAGAAACAAATCGGTATCGGAATACATAATGTCGAATTAAAACAACGGAATGAAAGCGGCTGTGAAGAATGAAGCGATATAAATGTACTCTCTATCCTTTTACAATGCCCAAGTGACTTATGGATGCTACTTAAAACTTTCAGCATGACCTTTCTGCTGCGATGTCGCCTAACATCTTGATTTCTGGGTCTCCGGGGAGCCAGTATTCAGATTGTGCGATTCAGAGTAAGTTGTGATTTAGGTTAGCGGCTTGTAACTTCGTCTTGCCAGTACAAGACACAATAAGTCATAACGCAACTACCCGAATTGTGAAAGCTATCGAATTTGCCAAAACGTAAAATTTCACGTTTTACTGAATTTAAAAAAAAGTAGAGATAGCCGTACATAGAGATGCAGTGTATATAGTAAACACTGGTGTGCTGCATAAGGGCACGTTGTACAGAAGATTTTTTTACAAAACTAAACCACTAAACAAATATAATTGTTTTTTATACAATAGTACTGAATTGAGACGCTCGTACTATGATAGTAGATAAGTAATCGGCAATGCGACCATAAAGATAAAAGCTCTAGTCCCGCATTACGTTCAACTTGATATCAAGTAGTAATAATATATGTTTTACCCTGAACAAAATAAACCTAAAAATGTTTCTAAGTGAAACAATCTTTCGAGCCCCTGCTGCACTTTAGCAAATCACTATTTAAAGTATGACAAAATTTCATGACGAAGCAAAAGGACAACCGTTTGGTAATCTAGGTTGTGGGTAAAATAATATTAATAGTAATAAACAAGACTGTAGTGTCACATTTGAGAACGTTTTATACTTACGGCATTGAGTTTGAATATTATTTATTGAATTATTGTTGATATGTTGGTAATTGTATTAGATATAACCCTTGGACCATCCAATTCCACCATGAATTGGATTTGGGTAGCTGAGCAAGAGCCGACAATAAAGTAGAAACACGATTCATGATTGAAATGAATTCTTTATTGTTAATTGCTTCATGGCTCAAATTATGCCTGCAGAACACTATGTATCATTTCATAATCACTTATTAGGTGATTAGGTTTATCGGAATTCCATATGTTTCGGTACCTGAAACGTTTGTCATCGTTAATGTTAAATTTCACGTTGACGTTAAATCAAACACATTTAAAACTTCTTAGAAAGTAAAAGTTTATAATTAAAAAAATATTTACTATTATTTTAAGCTCGTATATCATATATCTTAATTGTTAGTCTGGATGGTTATTTTCGTGCGCGAATTGATCAAATCTTTCTTTCAAATTATTTTTTCCTTTTTCCATACTTTTTCTAATTTTTATTCCAAATTATTTTAACATAATTCTACCCTAAGTATTTTATCATTACAATTATTTTATTGTTATATTCTTTTTTTGATATTGCCCTTAACTAATATTTCCAAGATATGGGTCTAAAATCAAAATTGCGTAACGGATATTTAAAGGATTTTTTTTACCATCAGAAGAATCTCAAGATCTACTAGCCTTAAATAGAACTACCACAATATTATAACATTTTTTCTTCAAGTTGATAAGATAATACTAATGCTAAAAAATGTTCAATTTTTTTTTAATAATAAATAGTCATAAACAAATAAAACTAACATTTATGTTATTAAAAAAGGCTTTTAAA